AGGGAGGGAGGGAGGGAGGGAGGGAGGGAGGAAAATAAACTATTTCACTGGGCGTGGTGGTGCACACCTTTAATCCCATCACTTGGGGGGCATAAGCAGGTGGATCTCTGAGAGTTCAAGTGGTCTACATAGTGAGACCAGGTCTCAAACCATAAGAGACAGAGGGGTGGGGATGGAGAGAGAGAAATAATTTCAAGGAGCAATATTTAAGACTCTCCTTTAGCACTAAGAAGGTAAAACATGTCTTTTTAATTTTTTTTGGCAGAGAGGGGTTGTTTCAGGACAGGGTTTCCCCCTGTTACCCTGGCTGTCCTGGAACTCTGTAGCCCAGGCTGGCCTCAAACTCACAGAAATCCGCCTGCTTCTACCTCCCAAGTGCTGGGATTAAAGGTGTGAGCCACCACTGCCCAGCTAAAACACATCTCTTAAAGTCCTGAGGAAAGACTGGAAGTTGAGTGCCGTGGCTTCACACAGAGTTAACCATATCCAGTAGTCCAGGCTGGAGAAGCAACTGGCGATTGAATGGTTGTTCATTTTCATGCCATCTGCCAGATAATGTTAGGTAGCTTATAACACTCAACCCCATGAAGCAGGGTATCTGAGACCCACCTTAACGGTCTGTATTTTACTGGTACTTTTTTTTTTTTCATGATTCTTGTGTTCAGTTACGCACATTTTGGTTGGTTATGTTGCCAAGAATTTTGTTTATAATTAATTTTAAAGTTTAGTGATTTTAACTCCCATCAGCAATGTTTGGAAGTTCAGTTTGTTCCACATATTCCCCAGTTCTCTATGTGGTTGCAGATGTGTGTGCTTGTGGAGGCCACAGGATACCTCTGATGTCCTTCCTTGGGCTTTGAGTGTTGTTTTCTTTCTTTTTTGAGACACATTCTCTGAACTAGAACTTGCCAGATAGCCTAGGCTGATTGGTTAGGAGGCCCCAGGGAGGTCTGTATTTTAGTAGTGATGATGTTATACCTAGAGAAATCACTTTGGATTCTGAGCAGTTTTCTTTTTCAAAATGTTTAGATCCTCTGACTATTGGCTTAAATGTTTTGGTTTGGTTTGATTTTGGTTTTTGGCTTTCCAGGACAGGGTTTCTCTGTGTAAATGTCCTGGCTGTCCTAGAACTCACTCTGTAGACCAGGCTGGCCTCAAACTCAGAGATCCACCTGCCTCTGCCTTCCAAGTGCTGATAGTGAAGGTGTGTGCCCCCACCACCACCACCACCTTGCTTTGCTTAAGTGTTTGAAGAGAACCTAAAATGGAAAGGAAACAGTAGGAGGTTTGTTTCAGTTACTCTGAATGAGGCACTGGCCATGGGCATGAAAACAGCGCAACACAGCCCAGCCTGTCCAGGGGAAATCTCAAACGTTTTGATTCCCAAAAGATTGACCGGGGCTCTGTTTAATGATTAGTGCTGTAAGAAATGAGTAATATTTACCTCTTCGGAACAATACCGAAGAAAAGCCAATATCTTTCCAGCCAGGTGCTGCATTTCCCACAGTTAGTAAAAGAATGGGTGGAAAAATCTTTACTCAGTCACTTCTTGCTCAAACCCACCACCCCACCATTTTACATAATGTAACCGTGGTTATTGCGGGGGGCGGGGGGGGGGACCTGATATTTAAAAAAAAAAAAAATCATGCCAACCTTAGTCTGGGTCATCTATGGAACCAGCAAGGGGTACCGGTGAAAATGCACGGGTAAGCAATGAGTTGGCAGGAACTGAGTAACCCACTGCTACTAACCTGTCTGCAAAGCTCCTGGTGCCTGGTGGAGTCTATTCGAATGAGTGACATAGGATGCTTGTTCTTCATGACCCCAGATAAGTCACATACTTAAAGGGACTTGCTGGCATGGTCTCACAGGTCGTTCGCCGTAAGTCTGACTCGACGACGAGGATAATAGTTGGTAGTAGATATGCCTCCACGGTCCTGGAAGCCAGCAGTAAGGAAGTTTGCAGTGACTGTAACTGATTAACTGGTCTTGGAACATCCCCATGCAATATGGGTTCAGATGACATCGCTGAGTGCCTTTTGGATTTTGGCAGAGATGCCTTGGAGTCATTAGTTATCTGTCAATCATTTACAAATCCTTTTCTGAAATCAGTTAGCAAACAGAGTGCTCCCATTATAAACGTATATTCTTGTAAATGTGAGTCACGGTAAGTGGCGACATTGATGAGTTCAGTGCGGGTGAGGAAGGGTGTTGAAAACAGAATGCTGTGACAGAAGATGCCCACGGTTGTCCAAAGGAAAGGGTGAGACTGCCCCTTGACTGAGACAAATAGTTCCTAAATCCAGAGGCTACGCATTACTTCGTGCTTGCCTCCCTAGCGTCACAGGTACGTCCCTTGTTGACTGTGGAGGAGGCTGAATGCTCAGCACCTGTTACTTGAACCATGTGTGAACGACACTTCAGTCTCTCTTTCAGAAAAATGTGTTCCTTTCTCACAAGGTACCGGGTACCTATGTCTATTAAAATTAGCCTGATAGATAAGCTTCAAAAGCCCAAGGTAACTCATTAATATCATGTTTCCGCAGCATGCCAGTAAGTTTCATCGGAAAGTGAGCAGAGTGACAAGTAGCAAGTGGCATTTGGGAAAGGTCTGGTGGGGGTGGCTAGGCAACCCTCCAGTGATGCTGTCACTACTCAGCCTTTTCCAAACCCTTCCAAAAGTGACCGCTTAGTCAGAGGCAGATGACACAGCCAGGATTCCGGTGTGCGTGCCGCTATATGTTCTATCGGCCCCGTAAGCAAGAAAGAGAAGCAGAAGAAATCAGCCAGGGGTGCTGTTGGACCCCACGAACCTTCGACAGGGGCCAGAGTAATACGTGATAGTAGTGACTACTTAGAATCGGGGTCAGGAACAAAAGCACAGCCTGTGTGTCTCCACAATTCCCTTAAGACCTGTCTCTGCCTAAGATGCCAAGTCATGCAGCTCTTGCTTTGCGCAGGAGACAGGGTCTCACCGTGAGGCATAGGCTCGCCTCAACCTTGCTAGTCCTCTTGTCTCAGCCTGCAGTGTGCCGGGGTCACGGGTGTGTGCCACTGTACCTGGGAGAAACACTTGTTTCTCAGGCTCTTTTTCACATATGTGAGGGAGGACTAGGGACCAGCTGCATATGCTCAGTCTCCTAAATGTGCTTTGATCTCCTCTTTCTCACAAAATACAGACACACATATGTGTCATTTTTCTTTATAAGGAATTCCAAACTTAATGAGGCCAAGCATTGGAGCTGGAGAAGGCTCAGAGGTTAAGCGTACTGACTGCTCTTCCCTAGGACCTGGGGTTCAATTCTCAGCACCCACATGGCAGCTCATAACTGTCTCTAATTGCCATTCCAAGGGATCTGGCACCCTCACGCAGACATACACTCAGGCAAAACACCAATGCATGTAAATAAAAACAGATAAATCTTAAAAAAGCAAACAAACAAAGCCCAGTAAGCCAAGCATTACTTTGCCCCAGGAAGAAGCAGAGCAGGGGGTTCCGAGCTTTTGGGTCCAAATACCAAGCTGTGGACCACCCTGCTACACGACCAGCTATCTGCCAGCAGGTTCTCACCCCATGTAACACCCAGAGGGGTTGCATGTGTCTACCCAGACCACATGGCCTAAAAAGGCATGGAAGCTGCCGTCAGCATGTTGACAGGATCTGATAGACAATGCTGTTCACTGACTGGAGAGTACACCACAGCTTAAAAGATGTGTCTCCAAAACTAGGGCAGGTAAGGGAGAAGTCCACCACGTTCCCAAGGGTCACACATGCCTGGAGAAATATATGGCCCTTCTGAATTTCCATCTCAGATCAGAGAATAAGTATTTGGTCTCAAAAATAATCTAATTTTGTAGCCATTACACTTGAATCCCACCAACTCTGAAGGCTAAGATGGGAAGTTCAAGGCTACATAGTGAGTTCAAACCCATCCTAGACAACTTAGTAAGACCCTACTCCAAAATAAAAATTAAACTCAGGCATGGTGATACAAGCCAGTGATTCTGTAGTTGGAGGGAGGAGTGGAGGCCGGAAGAACAGAAGTTCAAAGCTCGCCTTGGCTACATATCCAGTTGGAAGACAACCTGGGCTACATGTCTTTAAAAAAAGAAAATCAGATTGGGGCTGTAGCTGAATAGTACAGTGCTTGCCTGGCATCCATGGGGCCCTGGCTCAGTCTCCAGGGCGCGCGCGCGCGCGCGCGCGCGCGCGCACACACACACACACACACACACACATGCGCGCGCGCGCGCAAACAAGTATTTTGAAATCACCATTTATTTATGGGCTGCAGGGTAGCTCAGTGGTGGAGCATTTGCCTAGCATGTCCATGGTCATGAGCTTGACCCCCAGCACTGGAGAAAAAGTGATAGGAACCATATATTTAAAAGAAAATTAACTAAATGAGGCCTGATGCAGTGTTAATGCCAGCAGCACGGGCTACATTGATTGTGGGGGACACCAGATTTAAAGCTCAGAGTCTTTGCCAGCATGCTTCCCTGGCCAGGGCTTTCTGTTCGTTTAGCTGGTGTGAGCTACACTGTTTCAAATTGCTTCCTATCCGTGCATAGGTAACAACCAAAACTCACCTTCATAGGATCACATGGATTCCTAACCAAGACATCTTCAGCGTCCGTGTGCATCACAGTCACGGCCATGGCCTCTTCTAATTCTGCCTTCCAGAGTTCACCCAGATAAATAAATGTATTCTGACAAGAATACCAGCATTCAGTACAGCTACTTAATGATGTAAAACCTACCTCTAATCAAGCCAAACTATAAGAATTCAATTTCCCCTGATTGTAATACCCATAGTTCTTCAAGATTCTTCAAGTATCATTTAATGATAAAGTAAATTAAAGTATGATGGTTAACACTAAGAAAAACACTGGCATGTATGCTCTAGCTGTGAGAAATCTTAACCGCTGTTTTTATGGACAGTATTTATTTATTTAATTGTTTGTTTGTTTGTTTGTTTATTGTCTTTTCAAAACAGGGTTTTCAGACCAGGCAGGCCTCAAACTCCAAACTCCAGAGATCCACCTGCCTCTGCCTCCTGAGTGCTGGGATTAAAGGCGTGCGCCACCACCAACTCTCCTAAATACTTCTGAGGAAAACAGCTGCTTTGCAGAGCCGTGTGTCTCTATGCCCCGGAGATCTCTAGTGTGCCATATTTGATTGTTCAAAGGAATAACAGCAAACAACTGACAAGAATCGACATCACGAGATTTTTTTTTTTAAATGTGTGCTCTCGGGGCTGGAGAGATGGCTCAGCAGTTAAAAGCACTGGCTGTTCTTCTGGAGGGCCCAGGTTCGATTCCTAGCACCCACATGGTGCCTCACAACCATCACCATCTGTAACTCTTGTTGCAGGGGATCCAAAGCCCTCTTCTAACTTCCTTGGGCACCAGACACATACATTTTTTTTTTCAGGCAAAACATTTCTACACATAAAACTAAATAACTTTAAAAATGCTCTATTATAAAAAAATTGAAGTACGGGCTCCTCTGCCTGGCTGGCTGTATTGTAACTAAATGTCTGGTGTGTGTCTATGCTCTGCCTTTTCAGACACAAGTCCACGTTTGTACGTCACTTTGAGGGAGTGTCCTTGCAAAGGCCCATCCCTCTCTCTTTTCCCTCCATTTGGCTCCCTAGTAGTGATGGTGAAACTCATAATGACTATTTTGTAACAGGAGGGAAAGAGAAAATCGTAATGTGGACGGGCCTCATCCCTAGACTGCTTTACCTCTAACCCAGTGGTTCCCAATCTTCCTAAAGCTGCGACCCTTTAATAAAGTTCCTCATGTCGTGGTGACCCCCAGCCATAATACTCTTTTCTTTCTTTTTTTTTTTTTTTTTTTGGTTTTGGCTTTTTTTGAGACAGTTTCTCTGTGTAGCCCTGGCTGTCCTGGAACTAGCTCTGTAGATCTCCAACTCACGAAGATCCTCCTGCCTCTGCCTCTCAAGTACATTAAAGGCATGTGCCACCACTGCCCCAGGTTATAACATTATTTTCATTGTTA